GCCGATCATATTGTTTGAACTAATTGGATGAGCCCTCCATCTACGTCAATTTTACTTTTATTCTTCGGCCAAAAGAAAATATTATGGCGTCTAGGTAAAGCTAACTGTATTTGCCTTCAATCTCCGTAGGTAACAGTGTTAATTTTCCTTCTGATCAAACGAAAGGAAACACTTCAACTTTTAGCCTGAGTTGACGAGTTTTACTATCGTCAAAACGTATAGAATTTGGTCATCTTGGATGATATAGTAGGTTCAGGCCACGGGTACCGGTATCGTCTTCGGGAGGACACTCAGAGCTCGAAATTTCCAGTTCTTAAACTAAAAGGCTGACAGTTGGGTGTGGCATCGCCTCCAGGTTTTCCTTTAGTGCTACCGAAGGTGTTTCGTATCAGTTTGTCCTCCTCAGTGGCGCGGTAGACACACGGCGGGCGAAGAAATCGACCCTTCTTTTTAATGCAAACGGTTCGAGCTAAATTTTGTCCCAAATTTCACCTGGCTAAAATGTCGATAGCATTTAAGGGAACACATCATGCCGTACAAACAGTGAATGGACATTGACAGCGGCAAGAGGTAATTGAGTATCTAATAAGAAGTGATGTGGGAAATTATGTGCATCAATCAAATCAATGAACACAGTAGAAAACATAGCAAAGAGTTTTTTAGATTTTGTTTCCGCCTGAAGACTAGTATTGCTTTATTTATTAATGCTATGGATAGAGTGAGCCTTCGGTCGTGTATCATTCATGTTTGCCGACTTCAAAGATCAGATGAGATGGAAGGGCTTACGACGACAAAGGAAGTGCACAAGCTGCTGACGACAAGGTCTGTAAAGACTCCTCACAGAAAGTCTAAAAGAAACGTCACCCTCCAGAATCTGCTCCCTCCTCTTATCTATTTTCTATTTTACGTTCCTTACGTCCGTAAAAGATCAGTGCTGAACTACCCACAGAGCCTGTAGAAGGATGCACAATAAATCGACACAAGATACTCCCTCAAGACCTCTGCCAGGTGGAGAAAAATTGGCCAGACATGCTGAAGTGAGTTGACAAGGGGGAAAGGGTGAGAAGTCTCACTCTCAATGAACAAGAATAAATCCCGTCCTCCACTTAGGGACTGCTTTCAAGGCAGAGGTCCCGCGGTTATCAGTGAACATGTCTAATAAAACCTCACATCCTCTTCCTCAATAAGGTTCCCAGTGAAAGGTGCCTTAGTTTCGTCCATTCGATGCCAAACACAATTGGTCTGACTGCACTGGACTGGACAGCGCTGGCCAACGACGGTCAAAGGTAAATCGAGGCTGGTCAGTACCATGTTTCCATGTAACGAAACGAAGTTGATCTTTTTCACCGGAAAGATTTAAATCATATTTAGATTTAAAAATTTTAAAATATGTTTACTATGTAGCCGTTTGTAAAAGGCAAGATTAATGTTTTCTAGCATTTTGAGAAGACTAACTTTCGTCTCTGTCCCTTTGAGCTAGGCGAAAGCGACTTCTTCGCGGGTCAAGTTGTATAAATGTAAAACCAGACACATTTAATGGAAAAGCAAATAGTTAGGGTAAAACATTTATCCTTGCAGTGATATCGAGGCAATGACTCTACTTTTTCTAACTCGGGAATATAAATGCGATAATTACTGGCATCTACAACATTGTTATTTGCGCAAAAAGTTGGCTAAGGACTCCGCCTTATCTGAAAATTAAAATACGTTTAAAATAAGCGTATTGCTAGACCTTACTGAGGTTGGGAGGAGGTATAGCATTGAGACCTAGTGTGCACCACCATCCCGTGGAAGGAGTAAAAGGCTACTGGCATGTCCTTACGGTCATGCTGTCCAAAAATTGTACAAAGCCACGGTCTTGAGTGTTCTCAGTCCCAAAAGGAAGAGGTGGCCAAGTCATTAAAGCTTTGCCTTGGCCCTCTCTTAAGTGGCGCCCCTAGCGATGTCCTTCATCAAACATTTTATTTTGTCATCAGGCAGCTGTCGATGAAATGAGGAAAAAACAACCACACAGCGTTGCTGACTAATTTTCATGATCAAAATGATACTAGGATTTTGTCTTCTTTGGGGCGTATCGAGTAAAGGTAAATGTAGTGGTCAGTTCCTAGGTCTTTTGCTCGTCACATGCTAAATGGCCCAAAACGGGAAAGGATTTACTTTATTAACGCGTGCGTACAAACACCGTAGGGAACTTAGTGACTTACTATCTTAGGTACTTTACAGCCGTCCTAGATAGCACTTCTGCTTAAGATGGTACAGAAGGAATCATCATTTGTTATTTCATCCTCAGTATGTACCATTCTTCCATCTTTATGAAAGTTATTTGCCTTCACATTAAGTTTGTCTTCTGCTCTCACCACTGTCATTTGGAAGCCGCTTTTGGAAAAGGCAATTCTAAAAAGCAAAGTATATTGCCAGCAAATCGGAGGCTTAAAACTCTATCAACATGTCTGAAGGACAAGTCTCCCAAAAAAAGCTAAGGTCTAATAGGCCTGCCAAATCGAGTCGAAGTACCGCATGGATTTAACGAATCTCCGATGAACATTTTTAGATAGCACCTTAGTAGTGCCTTAAATCGTCAGTATGTAAGGCTTTGATAGATCTAAATTGAAGTGAATCCTCAAACATCGATCCGTAAAGTTTTCACAATTACTTTTGATATCAGCAGAATTTTTACTGAAATTTATTAAGTAAAACATTTTACTTAATATATTTTTAAGCACAGCACATTTGTAGTTGTGCTATCCTTAACTGTGCTGCCTTAAAATGCCAAGAGATTATAAAATTCGCTTTTAACACAATTTTATCTGTCGACTCGGGGTGTGGTTGCAAACGTTCTGTCATGGATAAGAAAGAGTTTAAAGTTAGCAAGTAATTTTAATTTCCTGGAATTTCTCCACTCTTTTATAATGAAATGCTGTTGCGTAATGAGACTGCATTTGAGCAGAATAAATTAATTTAATTTTGCTTCAATTCGGAAGGCACTTATTTTTTCAAAAACATCTTCTTCAATAAAGTAGTCATAACAATTCAAGCAGAAGCGATAGCGTTACACCAATTGATACTTTAATTTTTTGCATTCGTTTAAAATTTGCATTGAAACTGAGAACACGTTACCTTAAGCTTAGCTGTGCGAAATGCCTTACACATAGAGGTCCATCAGTAAACTGCGATTCTCGCATCCTACCGCCTCTCTACCATTTAAACCTTTTTTTATTTATGGAGTTTATGGTCAAAGAGCTCAGATCGTAAAGACTGGAGGTCTGACACGTTCTATAATTATCAAAAATCTGCGCATATTAAGCGAGTTGAGAGTATTGTGAGTTGCTTTCTTGTGTCTGCTATTCAAAATCTCAAGGTACATTTGGTTCCCCTAAGTGGAGTGCAGAAAATGGCGAATGTAAAGAACGACAGCGACAACAAAGGCACGCCAAGGGGTTTAAATCGCCATCATCATCATCATCACCGTCGTCATCGTCATCGTCACAATCGTCATCACGGCTGCTCTTGATGCGGAGACACGTAGTCCTGTTTGGGGTCATTCACACGCTGAAACAGTGGAGGTTAGTCACTTCCTCTCCTGTATCTGGTGCAATAGGGTGTTCCACAGTCCTGCTCTCTATTAACGTGCATGGGACTGCTGTACTGCTTCCTTTCCTCCAACTACCTTGCATTTTTTAACGACCTTGACAAAATATCAGCTTTAGCCTATACTGAAGGGTCAAAATGAACCAGTTTTGGACTGTTTTCAGTAAAGAATAGTGTAAATACCCTGTCGGACATTTACGGCTTAACTCCATGTTTTGCGTCTGATTAAACTTAATGAATAAAGTGTTTGTTTCAATTGAGAAACTGTTCGCATGAGACTGACGGTCTTCCACTCATGGATTTTGAGCTCACCGTTCTTAATACTGAGTTGGTAAATAAAACATTTTTTTGCAATGTCAAACTGGTCCTCGCAACTAATGCTCTGGAGTAAGACGGACTTTGTGCGCGAATATATGGTCCGCCGCCGTAACCCATTTATTGCTTGAGTTCCCATAAATAGCAATTTAAAGTTCTGTGTGATCATCAGCATCTGTACCATTTCCGGAGCCATTGCACGTACTCAGAGACTGTCCAATTAACTCACTAAAATGCGGCGACAAGGGTAAAAATTTGCAGTTTCCTACCCACAACGAAATGTAGGCGCGACAGACTGCACTTACGATGCTCAGCTGTGAGGCGGACTGGAACACCAAACAGCCTAGACACTGCTATCCATCATTTTGCCCTTTGGACACCCCTTGATTTGACTACCCGGAAGACGGTAAATGTGGGGCGCTTTACCAATTTGGGAGCCGTATTTTCCACCATGCCGCTGACTTCATAACATTAGTTTACCCACATTTTTCATTCATTCAGCACCTCTCCTTCCGACGGCTTTCTTCACTATTTGATGGACGAGTAGAGCTAAAAGCTTTTTTGTATATTTCCCTAACTTCCACCAAAACGAGAAGGCAATTGAAGGGAGATTAGTCCGAAAAGCTTTATGAGGCCTTCACCAATCGTAAATACTTAAATTTTTCAGCTTAAAAGGGTTCTTGCCGAATGCAGCACTTGTAAAGTGTCCCGCCGTCAGTAAGACATACCTCTTCTCGACAATACAATTTCGTTGAAGCTGTGATGCACGCATAAGGTTTTTCAACGAATTCTCTCCCAAATCCTTCTCACAACTTTTCCAGGAAAAATGGGAGAAACAAAAATTTGGAAGACTTAAGACAGACAGCTTTCAGTTGGCCACCCTCATTCAAAAGCTTCCACATTCGGAAATTCGTTACACATTTTACACAAATACCTCATCAATAACGGAAAAAACGTGATTTATGAGTTACGCAAACAACCTTGTCCATTCAAATGACATAGAAATTAGAATAAATAACCGTTTGCTGTTTCCTTGACTATCTTTTTTGACATCCCGGCAGCTGCCGAAACGGTCGGCAGAAGAAAAAGTGAGGATTATGGGAAGAAAGTACAGCCACTGGGCTGCAACACTGACCTTGAGGTACGAAGACCATCCTCCCCTCCTTGTCCTCGTCCTCTTCTACCTCCTTCCCCCCTCCTCCTTCTCCTCCTCCTCTTCTGCTCTCTCAAGGTCAAGAGCTACAAAAAAGGCGTCCTTCAGATTTGCTCTCCCCGTGCCTCGCCAAGTGAGCTTTGGTGACCCACATTCAGGACACAACACCCTTGGTATGGATTTTTTGTCCCCCAAAGCCCGCGAACGCGGGTGCGTTAGTCAGCTGGTGGCGGTGGGACCTGCCAATGCCAACCCAAAAGTACTGCCCATGTCCTAAATTGCATCATTACATTCAACCGGACAATCGTAGCCCCATTTGCTAGCCCCTCATCTTGAAGGTGGAGGAGGCTGGTTCAAAACACCTCACCAAATGCCCATTTTGGACAAGACTGAAGTGAAGAGGTAAGTGGCGCTACACAGCGACACAGAGGTAGCGTTATGAATCAGCGTGTCTGGAATTTGTTTACTCCCTTTCTTCATCGATGTTTTCTGTCTAGAAAGAGCACACACACACACACATACACACACACACCATTCATTTATCCGAGGATTTGCTTACTCAAAGTTGAAAGTTTCCGCCTACAATTTAGCCGTCATGAGGGTCTCCTGTCAAACCTTAGTTACAATTGGTAAAGTATTTAGATGGGTCAGCCTTCTATGGGCTACTAAGCCTAGATCGTCATTAAGAATCACGTTACTCGTTTCTCGTAGTAAGAAAGCTGTGGTAGGTAATGTTTTGCTGCTACTCATCATATCCAGACCATTGTTACTTAAAGCTCATAAGGTAGAATGAAAGTGCGATTATGCTAACAGGAAAATCCTTTAAAATATACCATTCTCTAAGAGTTCCCATCTAAGTACTTGAGATAGTTTGAAAGTTCGCACAAAAGGACTGCTGCTTGGTGTGTGAATGGAAAGAGAATTGCCAGGCTTAAAGTGAATAGTGGTAATAACTGAAACTTCATTTTGCAGAAATTCGGTGGAAACCAATTTAGCGAGAAGACGGAGAGTCGTGAAAATTTGAACTTGGACCAGTAGAGATGAGCAAAACCGAAGTCCTACGATTAGAACTATGCTCCCAGAAACGCTCTCATGTTGTCAATGCATCCATTAAGAAAGTCCTTTGACCCTTTGAGTTGTGCTAAAAAGTTAAATGATGGTCTGGCTATGCCCAATTTCATACACCTAGTGCATTAGAAGTCCATGATACTTTTAACTTTGGAAAAGGAGTAAAATAAGACAAAGAAAGTGGGAATGACTAGAATAGCAAATGCAGCATTCATCATAGCGAGCGTTGAGATTTGGCACTTAACAACACCGACGTATCTGCTCCAGGCATTTTCATTAGACCAATTTTACATTGAAGTGACCTACTGTCATTGGAACACTATTCGTCCCATGTCAGCAATAAATTGAAGGGTCACGATGATTCTCTATCCCTATCGAGTTTCAAAAGGGAATATTTATGGACTATAGTTGAATTAATGACACCATGCGTTGAGGAGCAACTTCAATTTTCCCGCATTTCTTAATCAAATCATTGGCGGCAAAACCTAATTCCTTCCGACCAATTTTACGTATTTCATTGAAAAAAATGAATTTTTAATTCAAACACCAAAGCGACAGATTAATGCCGCCTCAAAACAGCAGTCTTAGTGTCAGTGAGGCATCTACACAACCTACCCCGTGGCCCAAATACACACAAACTCAAAAGTGCAGCCTATTATCGACCACTAGCAAAGGCATAGTGTTTATACGCTCATTAAAATGACGTATATGCACATTTCAAGGTCACTCCCATGATCCACTGCAGTGATGTCAGCAAAGCCACGCCCGTCCATTTGCTTTGCACACACATACACACACACCCGCTACCACGGGGTAGGTCTACTCGGACCATCAAATTGCACTAAAACCTTTACAACTACGTCAATCTACCTCTTTATGCATCAAGGTCACTCGTCAATGAGGCATTAACCAATCGCTGCCCGAGTTGGTGAAGGTGCAGCTTGGCTTGATAGTTAAATGGCTAATTTGGAGGTCGTGCAAAAGCAACGTCACTTGGTCGAAAAAAGTATAATAGATGTTTACTTGCGAGTCTTAATGTAAAATTTGCAGCGTTTTGCCTCTCCTTTGTTCAATATTGCGAAGCAAATCTTGGTACTCATTTTCAAATCAATTAGCATAAAATGTATTCGTCTGACTTCTTATCTCTTATTGATTGGTGGAAGTAAAATTGCACACCACATACATAAGATGACCTTGACAATGTGTTTGCATAAATTAGCCATTTGGTGACTCAGAGGAGGCGATAAATCAGACCCAAGCGACGTGGGCGGGAGTGTGAGTTCGGTTGGTACTGCTGCACAAAGCACGGTGTATCCATGTTGGTGATGCTCAGCTCTGCACTTTTTGCCTCAACCATTGTCGATTTCTGATGGTGGCTGATGAACTCATCCCGCTCTGGCCAATCAGCGTCGAGACTGCTTATCCTGCCTTTGATCTGATTTGATCTGCTCGTTGAGATTCTTCGCTTTGTG